TAACTTCCTTAGGGCCCGGGACCTCTAGGGTGTTGCTATATGTGGACCTTAAGGTCCTCCGTGGGGCATACCAGGAGAGGCAGTCCCGTAGGTATGAGGGTCCTAGGCTGTGAAGGGCTTTAAAAGTCAAAACCAGCACCTTAAATCTGACCCTGTACTCCACCAGGAGCCAATGCAGCTGGAAAAGCACTGGGTGAATATGCTCCCATGGCAGAGACCCTGTGAGGAGCCTCGCTGCAGCATTCTGCACCTGCTGGAGTTTCTGGGACAGCTTCAAGGGCAGCCCCGCGTAGAGCGAATTACAGTAGTCAAGCCTGGAGGCGACCATCGCATGGATCACTGTGGCCAGGTCGGTGCGGGAAAGGTAAGGGACCAACTGCTTGATGCGGCGAAGGTGGAAAAATGTCGCCTTGGCTGTTGCTGTAACTTGCACCTCCATGGAAAGGGAGGCGTCAAGGATTACACCCAAACTCTTAACAGAAGGCAATGGCACTAATTGGGCCCCTGCAAGAGAAGCGCGACGACAACTCCCTCCCTAGTGCCACCCTCTGTCCCCAACCAGAGATAAAAGAGCACAGCCATTTATGGGCTATGCCCTGTATCCCCACATCGGCGAGGTGGTGGTCCAAAAGATCATGATCGACCATGTCAAAGGCTGCTGACAAATCTAAGAGAATCAGCAGTCCCGACCCGCCTCGATCCAGTTGTCTGCGGAGATCATCTGTTAGGGCGACCAGAGCCGTCTCGATTCCAAAACCAGGACGGAATCCGGACTGAAATTGATCTAAAGCCGATGTTTCCTCCAGAAACCTGCCAAGCTGTTCAGCAACTGCTCTCTCAATTACCTTACCCAGATATGGGAGATTTGAAACTAGGTGATAATTGGATAAATCTAAAGGATCTTGTGAAGTTTTCTTTAAGAGCCGACACACCATTGCTTCCTTCAGCTCCCCTGGGAATGTCCCTGTGTTAAGGGACAAATTGATCATTTCAACCAGGGGGGTCCGCGCGATATCTGGGCACGTAAAGCGAGATGAGCCCCGCAACCCCAGAGTCATCCGCGACTGGACTTAACTGTCAGGGGTCTCTTTACCTTTAAGCTACTGAAGGTAATGGGGCCCTTTATATGTCCAACTGTCCTTTGTCAACAACAAATTGCCACTGTTTTTTGTGTTGAATATATGCAATATGGTAATTTATGGACCTAATATGTATCTAAAGCCATTTGCACATTACAAAGTATGTACAGAGGTGCCTCAGGTTAAAAACTTAATTAGTTCTGGAGGTTCCGTTCTTAACCTGAAACTGTTCTTAACCTGAAGCACCACTTTAGCTAATGGGGCCTCCAGTTGCCGCCACACGATTTCTGTTCTCATCCTGAAGCAAAGTTCTTAACCCAAGGTACTATTTCTGGGTTAGCGGAGTCTGTAACCTGAAGCATCTGTAACCTGAAGCGTCTGTAACCCGAGGTACCACTGTACATCATAGGAGCCTACACAACCCAAAACACTGTTGTTGTATGTAGGTTTTATTTTATTTGTTTTTTAATCTTATATTTTGGAAATGTACATCCAGTTTTTTTTCCTTTAAATTTTGTTGGGGGGTCCTAAACTATAGCTTGTTTAGCTTATACGTAAATACGTCACTGAGCTGATTGACAATGTCTCACTGGAGTGTCAGGCAGAGTTCTCTCCCCACCATACTCAGGGATGCCAAGGATTGAACCCAGGACCTTCCGCACACAAAGCAGATGCTCTAACATCTTCCTTAAAAAAGAAACCAGTTTTGAAAGGATGAGGGAGACCAATTAGTGGACACAGGAAGTTGTTGTATACCAGGTCAGATTACAGTGGTACCTCGGGTTACATACGCTTCAGGTTACATACGCTAACCCAGAAATAGTACCTCGGGTTAAGAACTTTGCTTCAGGATGAAAACAGAAATCATGCGGCAGTGGCGCAGCGGAAGCAGGAGGCCCCATTAGCTAAAGTGGTGCTTCAGGTTAAGAACTGTTTCAGGTTAAGAAGGGACCTCTGAAACAAATTAAGTACATAACCAGAGGCACCACTGTACTGAGCCAAAACACTCAGGTCAAATGCACGGTCAAATTATGACTGTATGATATTATGGCTGTATGATATTGTGATGATGTCTGATGCTGTATTGTTTTTAATATTCAGTTGGAAGCCACCCAGAGTGGCTGAGGAAACCCAGCCAGATGGGCGGGGTATAAATAATAAAATTATTATTATTATTATTATTATTATTATTATTATTATTATTTATGGCTGTATGAACGATTGCTTGATATTATGGTTACATGGTATGGCTGCATGATTTGATGATTTGATTATATGATATTATGATTTTCACTACAGATGATGCTGTATGGCTCAACATTTTTTTCCCTAAACACAACAAAAACTTCATGGCATCCCAAGAGTTTTCCTTTCATCTTTAAAAGGTGCCACAAAGAACCTCTGATCTCTCTCTCTCTCTCTCTCTCTCTCTCTCTCTCTCTCTCTCTCTGGCTGCAAAATACTTAACACAGCTACCACTCTGGAAGTTATGCAATAGTTTGCCAAAAGAAAAAAAGATTTTTTAAAAAAGCCAGCAGGATTCATGTGTCAAGCCTCTTGCTACAGAAAAGGTAAATCAAGATTCTTTATGGAAAAGCTTCCACAATTTCTGAAATCACTGACACTGACCCCTTCGATTTGGCACAATCAATACTTTCTTAAAAAGGCATTTCACTCAATTCAACAGTGTCTATTAATCCTAGCTTGCATGCTGCTTTAAAGAGAAATGCGTGGGGCGGCGGCGGCGGCGCGCGCGGGGGGGCGGGGCGGGGGGGATCCTTTGCAGACAAAAAGCCACTGTTCACATCTAGAAATAAAATCTAATTCCAGTGAGCAAGAGACCACAGCAGTGAGTCATTGGCAATTTAACTAAATATGATCAGACCGCCAGTAGGATGCTTTGGAGAACGCGACCTGTGCTTCGTTACACAACCATTCCATAGGAAGGGGGCAGGGAATTAAGACCGGGCTACTAAGCTTATGCAACATACTGTTCTCCTGACCTACTTTCACTTCGGACGGAATCGACAAGACTTTGGTGAGGATGCAAAGGTGAGGGTTTGCCTGGTGGACAAGACACATCCAGGGTTCATTGCCCTTTCCGTTCCTGGGCTAGATGCTAGTTAGGGGGTGTTGCTAATCGTGTGCGTGGTCCAGGGACTTACGTGATCTCCTGTCATTTCCTCTACTTTTAAAAAAGCTTTTTTTTAAAAAAAAACACGACGACGACAACAACAACGACAACAACAACTTTGTTTATAGGGCAGCTCAGCATGCTGCAAAGCACCGTGCAGCTTACAGATCGATATTTGTAGCTGTTCATATAAATCAGCATATGTACATTTTAGTCACGCCAAACCTTTTAAAGACCTTGCAGGCTACACCCCTCGGAGGAGGGTGGGTACTTAGATCCCCTTCTACAGTGGTACCTCGGGTTAAGTACTTAATCTGTCCCGGAGGTCCGTTCTTAACCTGAAACTGTTCTTAACCTGAAGCACCACTTTAGCTAATGGGGCCTCCTGCTGCTGCCGCATTGCTGGAGCACGATTTCTGTTCTCATCCTGAAGCAAAGTTCTTAACCCGAGGTAATATTTCTGGGTTAGCGGAGTCTGTAACCTGAAGCGTATGTAACCCGAGGTACCACTGTATTTCGTGGCCGGCAGTATAAGCTGACCAAGATATTCAGGTTGAAACCCATCGCATTAATTGATACCGTCAGCATCCCAGAGGAAACACACCTGTCGTTCTTTTAATACACTTTGGCTTTATACAAAGATGAGAGGCGGCCAGAAGCATAGTGGTGATAAGACTACCTTGAAGGTCTGAATCAGTGTTACTAAGCTGTAATTTATCATGTTTGTATTTACCTTCTATTCCATCCTGCCAACAGGCAAGAAGAGCTTTCTTACATGGCAGGTGTAGATGTGGGGTACATTGGTTGTATGAATGCGCACTCTCACCAGGTACCACACTATGCACAAGCAGTTACACTGATCTGCCCTGGATAACATACACGGCAAACAGAGCCCTTGTTTAGACACTCACAATAGTGACCCAACACCAATACTAAATCTGTCAAAACAAGCTGCGATTGGAGTACAATAAACTCAGATTCATAACAATCGGTGCACATCTTCTGTATAAGGTTGCTGGCTTCTTCTTTTTTACTGATCTGCTGCTATACCTTTACACCCGCACCCACCCACCCACACCCCAGCAGCAGCTCTACATATTGCCAAGAGCTGTACCAGTTGAATTTCTGCCTGTCAGGATACAAGACAGGGCCGGAGAGCAGGGCCAGTTTAACAAATAACAGCAGCTGGCCACCTCACCTCTGTGTCCCTCAGAAAAGTTTAAGAAGTTGCCAGGAGAACGGGGAACGTCAAAGGAGTGACAAGCAGCTGGTTCACACGTGCGTACAGTATTTATTTCTAGGAAACGGAAACTTCCTGTGGTAGCTTGCACATGTGCACGAGTCACCAGATAGATAAAAACACGGAGAGAAGTTTCAACCCCACCCCCCTACCCCGCCAAGAATACCACTTTCCCCCATCAAAGCGAGGAAACTCACACGCTCATTTGCGAGTCAGCAAGAAAGGAATAGCGCGTTCTACGCTCACGCGTGAACAGGCTAGCAGAAATACAACCCCACAGGTCCCTGGTTAAGCGAGAGGAAGAGAAAGAAAAGAAAAGGTGGCGCTGAGTAATCCACTGCCCACCTCACCTACGGAGCTCATCGCAACAGCGGCGTAGCGTGGGTTGTCAGCACCCGGGGCAAGGCAAGTAATTTGCGCCCCCTAACCCGTGGATTTGCGCCCCCTAACCCGTGGATTTGCCCTAACCCCAGATGTTGCGCCCGGTGCGGCCGGCCCCCCCCCTTGCACCCCCCACGCTACGCCGCTGCATCGCAAGGTAATTTACCTAATCGGATTGCTTCGTTGTACTTCTGAAGGGCAGCCTGGAAATTCTTCTCCTTATATAAGAGATTCCCTTCACACCGGAGCTGCGACGCCTTCACTCTTTCAGGAAAGCATTTGGCCAACAGGTTGCTGAGGACGACATTTATCCGGAGCCGGGGCAGAGCGCCCTTGCCCCCTGGACAGATGCTGCATCCTGCCGCCTGGCCCGTTTCCTTCTCCAGGCACTTTTTGCAAAAAGTGTGGCCGCAGAGCAACGAGACAGGCTCGTAGAGGAAACCTTGGCATTTGTGGCAGCCGAAGACCTCCCATTCACGTACCGGCGCCGAGCTGCTTTTCAATCGGATGCTGCGCGCCATGCAATCCACCAGCTCGCCCATTTGCTCCGCGCGCAGCAGCCGAGTGTTGCCCGACGCCAGCTGACAGAGCTGAAGGACTTCGGGGAGCTGCCCGCTCTGCGCCAGCCACCGTTCTGCCCTCTGGAGCATCCCCTGCCACTCGGGCGGGCGCATCGTGGTCTCTGGCGGCCGCGAGGACGCAGAGAGGGCGACGGAAGCCGAGGAAGAAGAGCGCTCTGAACCGCGCGCCTGGAGAGCCTCGGCAGCCGAGCTTAGAGCTGGTGGCTTTTGCTCCTCCTGCCGCTGCGGGGAGCCCATGACTGGGCTTGAGCGGAGGCGGTGGGTGGCTTCTGCTCGGGAGGGTGGGCACGCTGCTCAAGTGGCGCCGCGGAGCGCGACAAGCTGGAGGAGGCAGAGGCAGCGTCTACACCGCGCTGTTGCTGCTGCCCGTCTGTTTCTGTGGAAGCGCCAGCCCCTCCATTCTGCCGGCTTCCCTCCCCAGACACGCCCCTCATGAAAGTACCTCATCTATGCAAAATACTTATGTAAAAATCAAAAGGCCAATGTGATTGTCTGCCTCGCTTTCCTTCTCTCCACCCCGCCCTCCTCCCGCTGCAGCCGCTCATTGGGCAGCGGCGTGCGGGATGGTTACAAAACCCAGGCAGTTTTATAATGTGTTGTTGCTGCGAGCGAGTTGCAGGACGAGGGAAGCGCTTGGAGTTTGGGTTCACCTCCTCGTTTCAGTTAGCTCGCCGAAGCAACCCCACAACACGGGTGGGTAAACAGGGGCAGGATTCAGCCTGCCGTTCGTTTCTAACAAGAGCTCCCCAAGATCCCATCCACGGAAGCCCCATACGAAAGAAATGCACTGTGTCCACACGTTGCACTGTACACGGTGAGGTGTCTTTGCGTGTGTTCAAATGTTTGTGCACATGCTGATTTGTACAGGTCAGCTACTCATGCACACAGAAACTAGGACTGGACATTCAGGTCTTGCTTTGGGACTTTCCAAAGGGACCTGGCTGGGCACCATGAGAACAGGATGCTGGACTAGATGGGCCATTCGCCTGATCCAGCAGGCTCGTCTTATTTGGATTAGCAGAACTGCAAACCTATGCATCCAGTTTAGTTTACCTAGGAGTAAGCTGCATCAAACTCTCTCAGGTGGTCCTTCTGTCCTTGGGGACCTGCATGCTTTCATTCCCGAAACTGACAACATTCCCTTCCCTTACAGAAGCAGGTCTGCAAACATTCCAGTAGCTTCATCCCCTGAGCACACCAGCTTAGCCAGTTGATAGGCAGCTAGGCTTCCCCACTGCAAGTGCATCACATTACAGTGAACTGCTCAACTTACCCTTAAGTGTGCTTTGGTGTGTTTACAGTATACACATTGACTTTGCATCGCAGTTGACCCATTTAATGTAATTTTGTCTGCAGAGCTACAGTTTGGTGAATTATGCCTCAAATAGCTGGGAGAGGCACATTTAAAGTGACTAAGGTTTAGCTTTCAAAACAAACAGCAAAAATGTGTCACTGCTGCAAGCATATCTTCATTCAGAGATCAAGTGGCCAATTGCCTCTCACAGTGGGAATCACTCTTACCATGAAGGGTATTGAAAATAGCAACAGGTGGCCATCAAAGCAAGAGCCAGGAAGAAAAACTGATAATGCAATTATGAAAAGATGAGTGAAAAAGGGGGTCAGACTTTCTCAGTTTGTAAATAAGCTCTCAGAATAAAAAAAAGGGGGGGCATGAACAACTTTTACACATCTCCCTATAATAGACTTGTTAAGTGTTTGTGGCTCAGCACGGCTCACAGCTCAACTAGGCTTGCCGAAAGGGAGGGCTCAGATGATGATAAAATGGAGGCAGGATGTGGTGGTACTTGGGGAAGAGCCACAGCTCAGTGCCAGAGGTTGCAAATTCAATCCCCAGCATTCCCAGGAAGTGTCATGGACTAGCTGGATGCAGATGAGTGGTGCAAGGAACTAGCTGGGGAATTCCTAAGGGAAGAAGGTTCAGAACCCAGGGATTGGTGGTGGGACGACCATGAGTGGTCAGAGGGAGAAGAGGGAGAAGACAGGGATAGCAGGTGTCAGATGCTGAAGAGGTAACAGGGCTCAGTGAGCCAGGAGAGTCTGTGGTAGAGAGAAGTCCAGAATCAGAGGCAGAAGCTGAAGCGGGGGGTGGAGGGAGGCCAAGAGGCAGAGAGGAGTCAGGCTGGTGAAGAGCCATAGGTGTCTCCCTCTCCTGCCGCAACCCCCCTACCTTCTGGTCTCCAAAAACCCTTGAAGGTATGAAGAGGAAGGAGCAAAGACAGGCACTGCAACCGAGTCTCAGATTGCCTGGGGAAGACCCAGGGGAGGAGGAGACTTAAGCAATGATGGGAGAATTGCAGAGTTGGAGGGGACCCCAAGGGTCCCCTGGTCCAATCTCCTGTAATGCAGCAATCTCAACTAGATCACACATGACAGGTGGCCACTCAACATCTGCTTAAGAACCTCCAAGATAGGGGAGTCCACTACCTCCTGTGGGAATCTGTTCCACTATTGAACAGCTGCTTTGCTCAGCAGCTATTATATAATAGGCAATTGCTTAACTGCTCACAATGAAAAAAATAGTAGCTGGAGATGAAAGCGGAGGGGCTACATAAATTAAATCTTGAGTTCAGTTCTCCACATTAGTTTGCAATTTTTTTGGGGGGGGGGGTAAAAAAACAAGTTCTCATGAAAATTCACTAGCGTTTCAGCATGCCTCTCTCTTTATACATGCAGTTGTATGAAATATGGCATTGTTTTTGCAATAGAGTGTATATAATGCATAATATGCATTTTTGCATGTTATTTCCCCTATTTGCATTTTATGCACATTACCCTGCTTTGTATACATTACTTGGCTGGAGAACTGTGTTGCAAAATTCAGGTAAGTGCAAGTTTCAAAGGACAGCTATGTTTCAGTTTGTGCATTGCTTCAGAAAGTGTCTATTAGGTGGGCTCTTTTAAATGCAGGCTGAATCAAATTATCCATTGCATCTCTGTGATACTTCAATTTGAACTCTACCCTCTACATCAGTGATGGCCAAACGTGGCCCTCCAGCTGTTTTGGGACTACAACTCCCATCTTCCCTAGCTAACGGGACCAGTGGTCAGGGATGATGGGAGTTGTAGTCCCAAAACAGCTGGAGGGCCACGTTTGGCCATCATTGCTCTAGAACAGGCTCTTCTTCAGACACTGCCCATCCTTTCTTGCTTCCCCCTCTTGCAAACCTCATGTGGAGATACTTCCTTGCTTTTCCAAACTGTGCCCCATGCACTGACAAGAAGTTTTGCTCACATTCATTGTTTCTCTCCCCTGCTTCCTCTGACCTCTCTTTCTAACCACTGCCACCTAATTATAGATGGTAGGTTCCCTGGGGCAGGGACCTGTGTTTTGCTTACGTCACATTTGTTGTTGTTGTTGAGAGGTGCATTATTTTGGGAATAATTTGTTGGCTGCATTATGCTGGTGGTGGTACACAGGACTGAAGTATTATGAGTGGGGCAGAGCCCAAAAGCGTACACCCCTTTCACCTCTCTCTTTGTGATACCACTCCCTTCACCCCACCCTATTTCTGACACCCCTTCTCCTTGCCCAGGGGAGGTTCAGATTGCTCTTGCCAGCTGTCTCAACTGACCACTTGCTTTTGCAATTAGGCTAGCAGCCTCAGGGGTGCAAGTTGCCCACTTCTGTTTTAAAGTGTCATGTAGGCACTGATGATACTACAGAATTTGGCCCCCCAAGGAGGAGTGGTGGGAAGCAGCTTAGACTGGTTGTTGCAACGATTAGAAAAATTCATGGACGTTATGAAAATGATTTACAGGTGGTACATGACCCCAGTCAAGCTTGCAAAAATTTATCACTTGCCTGATAACAAATGCTGGAAATGCAAAGAAAATGAAGGTACATTCTTTCACCTTTGGTGGACGTGCCCAAAGATTAAGGCGTTCTGGGAAATGATTTATAATGAATTGAAAAAGGTATTTAAATATACCTTCCTGAAGAAACCAGAGGCCTTTCTCTTGGGTATTGTCGGCCAAGTGGTGTCGAAGAAGGATAGAACATTTTTCATGTACGCTACAACAGCAGCAAGAATACCCATCGCAAAGCACTGGAAGACCCAAGATGTACCCACCTTGGAAGAATGGCAGATGAAGGTGATAGACTACATGGGACTGGCAGAGATGACGAGCGGAATCCGAAACCAGGGAAGAGAAACAGCGGAAGAAGACTGGAAAAAATTTAAGGACTATCTAAAGAAATACTGTAAAATTAATAACTGTTAAAATGACGTTGGATTAGAAAATATGTGGTTATTAGCGGTAATGGATAAGTTAAAAAGAAGAAGAAAGATTAAAATTAAGTTAAAAATAAGGGAAGGATTTGCTGAATAATTAATTAGAAATTGGAATACAGAAAGGGGAGGTAAGAGGAAGTCGGGGAAGTAAGTTATAAGAAAATAAGGGTTGAAATTATATTTGTTTTTTATATTTTTTGTTTGTCATTTTTAGTGTATTGTTTTGTTTTCTTTTTGTTGTTATAAAAAACTTTTGAAACTTTAATAAAAATTTATAAAAAAGAAAAAGAAAAATTCATGGACGATAAACCTTTCAGTGGTTACTAGCTGCAAGGGCCGTGTTCTACCTCCATTGTCGGAGGCAATACATCTCTGAATATATTGCCTCCGACGATGTATCCAGAGCGCTGTTGTTCTCAGATTCTGCTTGCAGGCTTCCCAGAGGCATTTAGCTTGCTTCTGTGAAAAGAGGATGCTGGGCTAGATGGGGCTCTTCTTTCCCCTCTGAATGTATATATTGCTCAGTTGAACAGAAGAAGTTTGGATAACTGGGTCCATAGCTCCATCGGTAGAGCATGAAACTCTTAATCTAAGGATCATGGATTTGAGCCCCACATTGGGCAAAATATCCCTGCACTGCAGGTTGTTGGAGTGGATGATCCTTGTGGCCCCTTCCAACTCTATGCCAAGGATCCCGTGCAACAGTGACACTATGGCCTGGCCAACAGTCCCCCAGTTCCCCACAATAATTAATAAAGGCCTTGACCCTTAAGAAAGAAGGGCATTTTCGCTGGCCAGGTTTAATTCAAATCCATCAAACCTCCTTTGGGGAAGGTTCTCTGGTAGGGTGGAAGGAGAAAGAACTTGCCCATGTGAAGACCACCTGGTGGAAACCCTCACACATATGGTTTTCAATTGTAAACTATATGCTGATCTCCACCAGCAATTTCAAAATCAACTCTGTATCCCCATATGGAAACCAGAGTCAGAGGTCATACATTTTCTATTACTGGCGAATGATCAGGAGCTCACCAAATTAGTGGCTAAATATCTCTATTTGGTTTTTTGTCGTTGAAATACACTGCAGACGTCTGATCTCCCTGGAGATGTGAGGATAGACTGCTCTGCCTCCTTTCTTTTAGCAAATGTTTTGTGCCACTGGGGAAGTGGTAATTCTGTATTGATTTGTTTTGTATGTTTGTATGTGATGCCAATAAAGGTTTTACGATACGATACAATATGATAAAGGCATTGAGTGGAGTTACACAGTTTAGGGATACCTCCCTGCTGCTTCTTCAACAAACTTCAAGTCTCTTTTACTTTCATTGTATGCAGCACAATGCCAACTGCAATTCTTCTTTAAGCAAACAAGCAAGCACACGTGCACGCACGCACGCACGCACGCACGCAAGCAAACAAACAAACTGAATTTCATTCCTGACAAATTTCCCTGTTTTTCAGCTAAAGGTCATCTGAAAGGCTACAACACCTTTCCCCACCTGTTTTTCTATGCTGCCTGTAGAGCGGGTTGTGAGCAAATCTCTCACAAACCCTTAGAAATAATTAGTGAGATGAATCAGCACTCTTTCAGAAAGGGCTTTTTCACATCCATAGGAACAGCTATTTTTAAAACGTTTCAATGAATCACGCAAAAGGGCTTATCCAACGAGGATAATGCTATCTTTATGTGTAATACTTAAAGAAAAAATAACAACAATCTAACAGCTGCTTCTAAGACACAGGCGAAAAAATATTTACAGCCACATTATCAGAAGGGTGACGTTGCAATACATGTGATTACAAAACAGAAGCAACTTCTTTTTGATGGTGTGTCTTGTGTGGTTCTCCTAATGTCTTCAAG